CCCTCAAGCGATCGCTCCCCCTGCTCCAGCAGGAGGAGGAGGTGGTATTCTGGGCGGGGGAGGGGATCCATAGGACACAACGGAAACAAAAACACCGAGTAAAACGCGAAAAACAAAAACGGAGGGGAGACACACGGGGGGTAACTGTTTAGGTCTGGTATTCTGTCACGATCCGCTACTGTGAGGAGCACGGAGTGAGGAACTGGGAGACGTGGAGTAAACTTCAAACTAACAGACTTTAATTAACATCCAAGAACACACATGTAGCGGGGAAAGACGAACATTCAATACCAGACGCTAGACTTAGGAAAACACAGGGTTAAGTAATGGGACTAATCAAGGAAATTAACTGGAAACACCTGAAACAAATAATTATGAGGGAAACTGGGTCATGGCAGGCACATGGAGAGGGAAAAACACACAGAATGAGTCCAGGGGCATGACAGAAGACAAGTGAACATCGATTAAATAAGAAACTAATTGCAAGCAATAGGACAAAAATACGGAAGTCCTAAGAGGCCATATATTATTGTTATTTTTTTCTTTCTTGTTTTGTCATGATTTAATTATCTCGTGATCTCGACATAACGAAAGTTGTTTTCTCGTTATCACGACTTAATATTTTTCCATGATCATAGCGTTCCGTGTGATAAACGAACTGCTTATTAAAACCAGTGTTGACGTCACTGTATTCTGTTTGCACCTATATCTTTATTTGTGCGTCTTTGAAGTAGGCCTACATGATTGTTAGTTAATAAGCGGGGATGTTGTGTATATCTAGGACGTGCTTCAACGACGTATTTGTAATGTGCATCTTTTCCTTATTTTTAATCTTTATTGTTAATCATTAAATGTATATTGATAAGAAATGTGATTTATATATGTAAAGTGTAGCCAATAGGCTAATTTAATTAAGTGATGTTCTACAGTGTTGTAATCTTTTAAAGGGGTCATATGATGTTGCTAAAAATAACATTATTTTGTGTATTTGGTGTAATTAAATGTTTATGCGGTTTAAGGTTCAAAAAACACATTATTTTCCACAATTTCTTTGTGGAAACCACACACACACAAACACTCTTTTCAAACAGCATCCCAAGCTTGTAACGCACGTGATATCAGTCACAGCATATCCTGCATGACTACTAAAAATTACAAATGATATATAATTTAATTTCAAATAAAAGGAAAATTAAGTGAGTTGAATCCAAGCAGCTCTAATAGATTTTAGAATAGTTCTCTGCATCGTTCTGAAGGCGCTCCACCTGTGTTTGCGGTGTTGCTTTGACCACAAACTAAATTAATTACACAAACAAAATGTTTAGCATACTGTCTCTGGAAAAAAATCAACAGTGATTGATTAGCCTTTATTTATGTATCGTAGACGTTATTACTAAGCGAAGCAAAATTTGCTGAAATATCAGTACAGTAAGAGCGCATGGTTTATCTGTCGATCAGATGCTCGTCGTTGCGTTCGTTACTATAGCAACAGTAGAACAAACAAATCAAACAATCATTGTAAAAAAACAACTTTCAGTGTGTCGAGATCACGAGAAAATTAAGTCGTGATCACGAGAAAACAACTTTCGTTATGTCGAGATCATGAGAAAATATTAAGTTGTGATAATGAGAAAACAACTTTCGTTATGTCGAGATCATGAGAAAATATTAAGTCGTGATCACGAGAAAACAAGAAAGAAAAATATTAATAATCCATTAAGTCTTAGAACTGAATCTGAACCGTCTAAACTTACAAATTAAGCCAGATACCTGCGGGTAATTGATTTTATAGATCAGAAACTTCTGAGCCAATTCTCTGGTCTGATGAACTTTACTTCTAAGCATCATGTTTGAAGGAAACCAGGCACTGCTCATCACCTGCAGAGTAGCATCCCAAAAGTAAAGTGTGCTGGTATCAGCCTCATGCTGAGGGGCTGTTTTTCAGTTGTAGGGACTGAGGGACTCGTCAGAGTAGAAAAAAAGCTCAATGCACCAAAATATTGAGATAGCTTTAATGAAAACCCAGTCCAGAGCATTCAGAACCTCAGACTGAGTAAAAGGTTCACCTTCCAACAGGTCAGTGACCCTAAGCACACAGCAAGAGTGGCTTATAGACAACTCTGTGAATGTCCTTCAGTGGCCCAGCTAGAGCCTGGGATTGAACCCAGTCAAATATTTCTGGAGAAACCTGAAAATGTGCATCTGCCCCCTTCCAACCTGACAGAGCTTGAGAGGTGAAGAGTTGAGGAGAAGGATGGCAGATAATTGCCAAATGCTGATGTGCAAAGCTTGTCGCATCATCCCCAAAAAGGCGTTCGTTACTATAGCAACAGTAGAACAAACAAATCAAACAATCATTGTAAAAAAACAACTTTCAGTGTGTCGAGATCACGAGAAAATTAAGTCGTGATCACGAGAAAACAACTTTCGTTATGTCGAGATCATGAGAAAATATTAAGTTGTGATAATGAGAAAACAACTTTCGTTATGTCGAGATCATGAGAAAATATTAAGTCGTGATCACGAGAAAACAAGAAAGAAAAATATTAATAATCCATTAAGTCTTAGAACTGAATCTGAACCGTCTAAACTTACAAATTAAGCCAGATACCTGCGGGTAATTGATTTTATAGATCAGAAACTTCTGAGCCAATTCTCTGGTCTGATGAACTTTACTTCTAAGCATCATGTTTGAAGGAAACCAGGCACTGCTCATCACCTGCAGAGTAGCATCCCAAAAGTAAAGTGTGCTGGTATCAGCCTCATGCTGAGGGGCTGTTTTTCAGTTGTAGGGACTGAGGGACTCGTCAGAGTAGAAAAAAAGCTCAATGCACCAAAATATTGAGATAGCTTTAATGAAAACCCAGTCCAGAGCATTCAGAACCTCAGACTGAGTAAAAGGTTCACCTTCCAACAGGTCAGTGACCCTAAGCACACAGCAAGAGTGGCTTATAGACAACTCTGTGAATATTCTCGAGTGGCCCAGCCATAGCCTAGGCTTGAACCCAATCAAAAATTTTTGGAGAAACCTGAAAATGTGCGTCTGCCCCCATCCAACCTGACAGAGCTTGAGAGGTGAAGAGGTGAGGACAAGAATGGCAATAAAACACAATGCGTCGTGGGTCTACTGTTGCTATAGTAATGAGCGCAACTTTGACGCGCATCTGATCGACAGATAAACCATGCGCTCTTATACTGTATGTTGTGGATATTTCAGAAAATTTTGCTTCACTTAGTAATAACGTCTACAGTAAATAAATATAGGCTAATCAATCACTGTTGATTTTTTTTTCCAGAGACAGTACGCTAAACATTTTGCTTGTTTAATTGACATTTTTTAATTGGCAAAGCATTAAACACCGCAAACGCAAGAAGCATGCAGAGAACTACTGCTATTGAGGTGGGATATGGGTAATGTTAGGGATAGATTTCATGGTACAGGTTTAAGGGTTAAGGGGTAGGTGTAGGGTCAACTGTTATTATAGATGTAATTACAGATGTCAATTACAGATATAATTTAATATTTCTTTAAAAATGATACTGTAAGTACAATGTAAAATATATGTATTTATTTATTTAAAATTCATTTTTTCACCCACTTCTCTTTTTCATGCAAGTTATCCAAATCTTCAAATACAGAGAAATCACACTTATCAGTTTCTTGTTGAACTCCACATTTGTATTTTCACATCCTAATTTCCCATCCTGGTTACAGTGTTTAGTCACACACACTTTAGGAAGTCAATCTACAAATTGCTTATTTTATCTGGACATTAAGAGAAGATTGAAGGTGGAAAAGCATTGAAAACTGTACACACAGCAGCTTTAGGAAAGCACCTTATATATAAAATAAGAAATCAGGAAGGGGGCCAACACTTTTTCACACCACTGTATATACAGTGTGTGCACACAACCATTCAAAAGTTTGGGATCAGTAATACTTGAAATGTTTTTTAAAGAAGTCTCTTATGCTCATCAAGGCTGCATTTATTTGATCAAAAATACAGAAAAATACAGTAATCTTGCTAAATGTTATTGCAATATAAAATACTGGTTTCTATTTTAATATCCTTTAAAATATAATTTATTTCTGTGATGCAAAGCTGAATTTCCATCATCATTACCTAACAATATAAATCTTTGCTATCACTTCTTATAAATTTAACACATCCTTGCTGAATAAAAGTTTTAATTACTTTCAAAAAAAGAAAGAATAAAAATTTACTGACCCCAAACTTTTAAACGGTATATTGTTAGAAAATATTTCTATTTTAAATAAATGCTCTTCTTTTTAACGTTCTATTCATCAAAGAATCCTGAAAAAATGTAGCACAGGTTCCAAAAAAATATTAAGCAGCACAACAGTTTCCAGCACTGATAATAAATCAGCATATTAGAATGATTTCTGAAGGATCATGTGACACTGAAGACCGGAGTAATGATGCTGAAAATTCAGCTTTGCATCACAGGAATAAATGTGATTTTAATGTATATTAATATAAAAATGTTATTTTACATCATAATAATATTTCACAATATTAAATTTTTCATATATTTTTGATTAAATAAATGCAGCTTTGATGATCATAAGAAACTCCTTTAAAAAAAAACACAAAAAATCGTTCTAATCCCAAACTTTTGAACAGTAGTGTATATATATATATATGGGTTGCGGAAGCGGGCCCGGCCCGTGTTACTTTTGAGGTCTGGTACAAATATGACATGGGCTACAAAAAATAAAAAAACCATAGGTTATAGGGCTCATATGTATGCACATTTAATCATTAAAAGATCTCGATTATAACACACGCAATCTTATTCCTAAATGACGGTGATTCCGCTATGTCTATTAAACCTTTGAAAACACAATCACATCGGAATATTTAAACCTGCTTTCGCGTAGCATGTATATATATACCATTTTAACTAAGGAATATGTGCTTTAACAAATATACACTTCACAGTGTCTAAAATGTCTTAAACTTTGATTCCATTTTCAGCTTGTCTGAGATGGTGGAGGCACTGATCCTCAGAGTGAGAGCTGCCAACATGATTAGATGGATCATCGTAATTCCACTACTGCATCTTCTCAAAGGCACCTCAAAACCATTTGAGCCAGTGTTTATTAAGGTCAACCTACAATTTCAGCAGAACTGGGCTGGACTGCAGGGACTCAAATCAGCTAATATAACTTACCCCGGAAGCCAAGATAGAAGGTATTTCATCTGTTTTCTCAAATGTTGTTTTCCAAATGTTTTTTTTTCTTGATTTTAAATTTCAATCTTCAGTTCAAATCAAGTTGCTATTTGAACATTTGATCCCACTTAGGTTTCAGTGTATTATGATCCATTTTTGGCTTGTCACTGTTGAATCCCTCTCTTTTAGGGCGATGTTGAATCTCATGGAAACACATGGACATTTGGTGGAGGTGGACAAACTGCTGGCCAGATCTTGGATGTATCTGATGACTAGATGAGTTGGTCAAGTGCAGCTCCATCATCCATGCAGAACTCTTGGACATCCTGCAGCTTTTCACCATGAAATGTCCCGATGATATATGCTACAGCACTTCCACCGTGAGTGTCAAGACATCACAAGAAATAACCATAGAGTATATTGTACAAACCATAGTTTTTTTAATATACAGCAGTTTCTCAACTTGTGGGTCATAAGGCCATTTTGAGTGTGTCACAGAGTGTGCAGTCAAAGAAAAACAACAACAAAACACAGTGTCCCAATTCAGTATCTGCTGTAGGGCTGCACAATATATCGAAATTATTGAAATATTGCAAATGTATCAGATATTGCAATGGCATGCAATATCTGAATTATTTTAATAAACTACAAAATGTTGAGAAAAGTCAAAGTTTTAGGTCGACTCATATAGCAGAGAATAGACTGGGCACGCGACTGTTACTTACGTGACTTGCTTGATGCTAAAAAGAGTTATTAAAGGGATAGTTCATCCAAAAATGAAAATTTTATGTTTATCTGCTTACCCCCAGGGCATCCAAGATGTAGG